CATCCGATGATGGACATTTGGGCTGGTTCCAACTCTTGGCTATTGTGAAGAGTGCTGCGATAAACATTGGGGAACAGGTACATAATTTGATATTGAAACCATCTGGGTCTGGAGATTTCTTTATTGGAAGGTTTTTAAAATAAGAATACAATTTCTTTTATTATTATAGGAATATGTACATTATATATTTCATTTTGGATGCATTTTGGTAGTCTGTAATTTTTGAGAAATTGGTCCATTTTATCTAAGTTGTCAGATTCACATGTGTAAAATTGTCTGTAGCATTCCTTTACTACCCTTTTAATGTCTATTGAGTCTGTTGTCACACCTCGCTTTTCAATCATGGTATCGGTAATTTGTGTTTTCTCTCTCTGACTTCCTCTTTAACTATCAAATATATAGATATTTATTGTTTAATTTCCAAATATTTGAACATTCTTCTTTTATTTTTATGCTACTAATTTCTAGTCTAATTTCTTAATATCAGAGGGCATACTTTGTTTTAGTTTGATATAATCCCATTTGTTTATTTTTCCTTTGGTTGCCCATGCTTTTGGGGTTGTATTCATGAAGTCTGTGTCCAGTCCTACTTCCTGAAGTGTTTCTCCTATGTTTTTTTAAGAAGTTTTATTGTTTCAGGGTGTATACTTAATTCTTTAATCCTTTTTGAGTTGATTTTAGTATATGGTGAGAGGTATGGGTCTAGTTTCATTCTCCTGCATATTGATATCTAGTTCTCCCAGCACCATTTGCTAACCTAACCCTAACCCAACACATATGTAAAATTATTCACTATGATCAAGTGGGATTCATCCCAGGGATGCAAGGTTGGTTCAACATACGCAAATCAATAAATGTGATACACCATATTAATAAAATCAAACAAAAGGACAATATGATCATCTCTATAGATGCTGAAAAAGCATTTGATTAAATTTGACATTCATTCATGACAAAGACCCTCTATAAATTAGGTACAGATGGAAAGTATCTCAACATAATTAAAGCCATAAATGACAAACCCACTACCAATATCTTCCTGAATGTGGAAAAGCTCAAAGCT